GGGGGGTGGAGTTACAGGGGTTGGGGGTCTGGTCCTGTCTGTGATAGGGGTCCCAGCCCTATGTCTCATGGGGGTCCTGGTGGTGCGTCCATCAGTAGTCCTGGTCCCATCTCCACCCAACAGTCCCAGCACCCCACCCATGGGTGGTCCCGATCCCGTATCTGCTGGGGGTTCTGACTGCCTCCATGGGTGGTCCTGGTCCCATATCTCCTGGGGGTTCTGGTTCTGCACCCATGGGTGGCCCTGGTCCCATATCTGCTGGAGGTTCTAGTTCTGCACCCATGGGTGGTCCTGGTCCCATATCTGCTGGGGGTCCTGGCTCTACACCCATTGGTAGTCCCAGTCCAACATCTTCTGAGGATCACAACTCTGCAGCCACTGGTGGCCCTGGCCCCATATCTACCCACAATTCTGGTCCTGCACCCATTGGTGGTCTCAGCCTCACACTTACTGGGGTGGTTGTAGCCTTGTAGCCACTCGCAGTCCCGGCCCTGCACCCTTTGGTGGGCCCTGCACCCTTTGGTGGGCCCTGCCCAACATCTCCTGGGTGTCCTGGCTCTTCATCCACTGGTGGTTCCAGCCCAACATCTCCTGGGGGTCCCAGCCCTTCACCCATTGGTGGTCCTGGTCCCACGTCTAAGCATGGTCCTGTCCCTGTCCCTGGGTGGTCCTGTTCCCATCCCTGGCTGGCTTCAGCCCACATCCCTGGTGGCCCCATCCCTGGGTGGCTCCAGTCTACGTCCCCTGGTAGCCCTGTCCCCATCCCTACCTCAATGTCAGGGATGTTCTCCACCAGCTGCCGGGCGATGTCCTTGCAGCCGCCCTCCAGCGCATCTGGGGGCATCTCTCCATCCGAGTACCAGTCGCGGTTGGCGGAATGGGCGTAGGCAGCGCTGGGTGTCGCGTGGGTCACCCGCGTGGTGGTGACAATGCCCACCGCCTTGCCTGCACCACGAATTCAGGGGGCAATGGTGGGAACAGCCCCAAAACCCACTGCTTAACCCCTCCCCGTGGCGCCCACAGCCCCTCACCTGCGTCTTTGGCCCAGCGGAGGATGGAGGTCACCTCCTGGCCCTTGGTGGTGTTGCAACGGTCACGGGTGACACCGGCGCTGACGCCCACCGTCCCCTCATTGGCTTTGACGCCGCAGAGGTAGGCAGTGGCTGTGCCCGCGCTGTCGGGCACCTGCGCGTTGGTGTTGTAGGTCTGGGGGCGGGTGGGAAGGAGGGGGATAAATAAAATAGCAACA